AATAAATAAATATTAGGAAAATAAACTAGATTTATTTCAAGTTCCCTTTCGTTCGAACGTCGTATCAGATTGAAACACTTCGATCAAGTGATACTTTCCACGCCCGTTCTACAAATGCAATTCTTGAAAATATTCGAAGGCCATATCAAATAAAATAAATATATTATGATAACCAACACATACATACATAAATATGTAAAGTAAAAAATACATAATATGCATGCATACATATATATACATTAATTGAAATAAAGAAGAAAAAAAATGGATGTCCCTTGTTCCCATATGTAATGGGGTAAGGGGGAGGTAAGATAGTAGGCTGCTCCAACACCAAGTTGAGAGCAACTTCCGTAAAAGACCTCCGAATTATGAAATGCCCTCCGTGGGACTCGATCCCACGACCTCAAGGTTAAGAACCTTGTGCTCTACCAACTGAGCTGGATAAGCTTATACAATAAATGCATTTATCCCATGAAGAAAAATTTTTAATCGTAACACATGTTTCAATCAAATACACCTATTAACATACATAAATACAAATATAAGTACATATACATTGCCAATGAAAATGAAACACAAATATTTCATAAAATAATTTCAGAGACTAAAGAATAACAGAAACATAATAGAGAGGACCTAGTGGGCAATAATCCCAAAACACTAAAGCACTAAAGATGGTGACTAAATGAATATGGAGCAAAACATACACTTCAAAGCACAAAATACATGATTTTAAACATTCGTAAATGCGAAGGATCAAAAAGATATTATCCAAAAAAATAACCAAATTCGTATACAAATAAACATAAATATAAATCCACAGGATCAAAATGAAACATAAAATAAATAATGAGCTCGAAATAAAAATGTTTAAAACTCCATTAAGTGACCAAAATATAAGTTAGACATAATACATACCCTTCTTACACGATTTACCCACGCACTAAAATACAAAAGTAACCCCTTTGAAACTATGTCATTTCTAGTTTAATATATATAACAAAACAAATGCCAAAACCGGCCACCATTTCATTTACCTTCTTTTCCACTTGTTTGAAAGAGAAAGAAAGAGAGAGAGAGCTCTAGAATTCCCAGAAACTGGCGAGCATCCGCCATGTCAGCTGCCACTGACCGGCAACGACCGTCGTCCGTTGATGTCATAGAAGAGAGAGGAAGATGTTGTTCGAAGCGTCTTCTCACCCTGGATGCGGTTCCGAGCTTGGTTTGGCCTAAAAATGGCTCAAAACCGTGAACCTATGAAGAAACCCTTTCATTTTCTTTGGCTCCGGCGACCCTTGGTTTTCTTCGGCGTTCGACCGATGTATGTGTCTCTCTTTCTCTCTTTTTGCTTTGTGGTTCTCTTTTTTCTTTATGTGGTTTTCTTCTCTTTTTTTTCCTCGAAAGTCCCCTATCTTCTCCCCATCTTTTTTTGTCCTCACTGAATATCTTCTTTTATCTATTCTCTGTCTTTTTCTTTATGATCTTTGTTTGGTTTATGGCATGATGAAATCTATAAATAGGGGAATCGGTATTTCTGATTTTGTAGGTAAACCCTAATTTTTCAGGATTATACTATGGGGTTTTTAGATTAGGTTAGGTTTTGGCTGATTTGGGTGATTTGTTTACTATAGATGATAACTTGGCTGTACTGTTCAGCAGATTGATCACGAAGGCGGCTCGGCGGCGGCTCACGCGGTGGGGGTCGAGCGGTAGAGTCCACGCGCCAATGGGGAGCTAGAACGTTAGACGCGTGTACCACAGGTTCCGGTGATAGACGCTTGAGCTAACGACGGTGGTGGTTGGATTAGTGTTTAAAAACCCTAATCTATTTTGGGTTGAATACTGGTCGATTCGGGTCGGGTTATTGGGTCCTCGGGTCTGGTATGGATCCAAGTCGGATCTTTGGTCTTATAATTAGGTTGTACTGTTGTTAGGCTTGTGGTTGGCCTCAGTTGGGCCACAGGTTGAGGACATGTAATGTAAATTAACTGTAATTAGAAATAATTAATAATAATAATAATTACTACTATATATATTTTTTAAGACACGGACAAAAACAGATGTCTACAACAGCGATGCATGTTTATTATTCCATCTTATTTAGATATGTGGGTTTTCAAGTATTTAAATATAACATTTTAAACATTTATTTATTTAATGATTAAACACAAGGTTAATACATGCATCGTCGTTCGTTAGTTCATGCTCGTTCTCATACTCATGTAATTATGTATTCTCAATAGACATAGCATGCATTTGTTCATTTTGGATAAAATTTGCACTTTTTTACATTTTTACCCCATTTTTTTATTTCATTTCAATCTAATTTGATCGAAATCAATAAAAGATGCTTCTTACATAATATGCCTTATGGATAAAAATAAAGGTTAGATCATAAATTAATCATTAATGAGTGTTATTTTGATAATTAATAATTTTTGGGTGATGTTTAGGTAAAATGTCATGGCCAAGGCCTTGACCTATTGCCATCCATCTTTGAACATTGGGAGTAATACTATTAGGGGGCATATGGCTCACGGAATGTAAGATTATATTTGGGAATACTATTACTGGAATGTAAGATTACTATGAGAATATTGTATTACTTTGTTTGGTTTGTTTAACGAGAATGTAAAATTACAATATTTAGTTGGAAGAATATAAGATTACTTGAATACATATTTTAACAAATTATTCTTGTGATGTATATTTTTTTAAAAAAGAAATTGAAATTTAATATTAAATTATATATGTTAATGAAAATTCATATAAATATTTTAATCGTTATACTATCTAACTTTTGAGAAAAAATATATTTAATATATAATTAGTATACTAAACTTATTGATGAAAATAAATGATTTTGATATAACATTAAATATAATAATTTTTGTAAAATTAATTTTAAGTCCATAAAATTTGTCAAAGCTTTAAAAATGAGTCTTTTAAGTTCAAATTATATTAAAAATATCATTCAAATACTTTAGAATAATTTTCAAAGTCTTATATTTCTCAAAATGCCAAAAATTATCTTTTTAAACAAGCATTGACCAGAAGTTTCGAAACTTGTACAAGAGTGTCAAAACTTTCCAAAACATTAGCCTAAAAGGTTTCGAAACTATCTCAAGAGTTCTGAAACTTTCCTTAAAGTTTCGATACTTTGGGTCCAACGATCATATTTTTCAATTGCTCTTTCGAAGAGTTTCGAAACTTTGTGTGCATGTAACCTTAAATATGTGAATTTAATGCTTCAAACGGCTCCAAACTCCCTCCAACAACCACAAATAGCAAGAAATCAATGAGAGCATATAAAAGGGTCTTCAAACAACCAAGAAGAGACAAGAAAGTTATTCCAACAATCAAAGAGCATTTAGAGCCAAATTTGTAATCCATTTTTTCTTTCTTACATAGAACACTATTCCATTCATTGTAATTTTCATTCTAGTGTTCTTGGGTGTGTGTGAGTTTCAATTTGCAAACATCTTATTTTGTGAGGATATTCAAAAGTTTATTCTTTTTAATTTCTTCTTAGGAAGAGTTGTACACTTGAGACTTTGGGGTATAAGTCTATGTGTGTTGTAAGATTACACCTTGTCCTAAAAGGTTATAACAAATTAGTGGATTTATTGAAATCCTTAGTGTGGAAGCTAAGGTAGTGAAATGTAGACTTCATTGAAGAAGTTGAACAACTCTAAAATTGCTTGTGTCAATTTTTCATTTTCTTGCAAAAAACTTCCATCATTTTTCTAATTGCCAATTCACCCAACCATTCTAATGATTTGATTGACTCAACACTTATATTTTTAATAATTTTCATAAGTATCATATTATTTATATAAAATATAATATAACACGAAATAATAATATTATGATCTCGAATTTTCAAAGATATTATTTTTCAATGTATAATATTTACTTTTAATAATTTAATGCTAGATATTATTTTAAATAAGTACATTTTTACAATCATATTATTTTTCACCTCATAAAATTATAAATAATTAATATATTGAATATTAATAATATAAAATACTTTTAAATATTCAAATTCATTAATATTTTACTAAATTAAACTCTTTATATATTATTATTATATTTATAATTTTTAGTAAAGTACAAAAAATAAGAATTGAAAAGGATCATTATAAAAAATATTATTATTCTAGGGGTATTCTTTTTTCAAAGGGGTGAGAAATGTCTAATACCCAATAATTTGGAGGTAATGACATTCCCACCATTTTAATAAAAAAATACTATTATTGAGAAAATATTATTCTGTGAACCAAACGAGAATGCTATTTCGGAAAAGATTATTCTCTTGATGATGTTCTTTTCTACGAAACAAATGCCCCCTTAGTATGGTAGATCTGATTGATTCCAGATATGACATTTGTATTTTTATACATTTTATTTATTTAATTGATAAAAAATAATCTGACTATGAAAGTGATATATTATAGTTACTGTCATCGTTTGATATAATCGTTTCTCCTAAAACAAAATAAATAAGCGTATACGGCAATCCGAAACACAAGGAGAATGAATCTCAATAAAAGAAAAGCAGCTGTTAGATGCAACTAATAACCATACTTATCACAGTTTCCTTTAATTTCCTGCATTTTTTCTCTTAATATTTTCTCTTTCTAACCCTTCCTTTATCATCTTTGAGTGTTTTTTGCCATCATTTTTAACCCTAATTCGTGTTTCTCATCCTTGTTTTGAAAAAGAGTTTATATTGTTTTAAAAATACAATAATAATTTTCTATTCTTTTGTTGTTGGCATGGTCTATGTGTTCATGCTAATGCCAAATGATTTGGTGAAAGAAGATAGGGTTAACATAGTTTCGTTTTCTACATCAGATCAATGGTAATTTGATCATAGAACATTGTTTTTGTTTTGTATCTTTTATTGGTGGAAGAATATAGTATGGGATTATAATTGAAATATAAGGAGAAACAAAAATTGGGACAACATTAGAGCTTAGAGGAAGAGAAGAGAAATGTCGGAGTCGGAGGGGTTGTCCAACCCTTCTCCTCTGGACTTGAAATCCGATAATGATTCGAATGATAGACTATCGCCACCAGCACCACCGAATTCAGAATCAGATTTGGACTCGAATTTGTATTCAACATTTTCTACCGATGATTCTTCGAATAAAAGTTCACCTCCTACGGAATCACCACCATCATCCTCGTCATCACCGTCGCCAACGTCTTCGCCGCCATCACCGCCACCCCCTTCACCTAAGAAACAATCACCACCGCCACCGTCACCCCCTCCTCCTGAAGTACAATCACCGTCACCACCATTGTCGGAATCATCGCCACCACCTCCTAAGCAACGACCACCCCCACCGGAAAAATATCGTCTCCCTCCCCTCCTCCATCTTCAACACATACTCCGCCACCTCCAACATCTTCCAAAACCACGAAATCACCACCTTTTTTGCCTCCATCAACAAATGCATCCAACAAATCGTCGCCTGGATCTTCTCATCAATCGCTAGCTCCACAAGCAACGAGCACGCTGCAGAGCTCCTCTAATGCAAGCCGTGCATCTTCCTCTAACAATCAAACACAAGACGTAACTAATGAGACGCACTCTCGCTATGATGTTATTATCAGCGCGGCGGTGGCAGGTGCTTTTTTCATCGGAATCTTCGTTGCCTTGTTTTTCATCCTCAAGAGGAGAAGAAAAAAGAAAAAACAAACTCTCCACGGCAATTACATGCCACCATCGGGAAAAATTGAAGTGAAATCAGGTAATAAAATGGAAAAATGATTCATACATTTTAAATATGCTCTACGTCATATCTATATTAACATTTAGGGTATAGAACACAAATAGTTCCCTGATTATAGGGTATTGATTTATTAAGTTTCTTAATTATATTAATATTTTATAATTTTTAATAGTTAGGGGACTCAACAAAACATCATCCTATAGTCGGGGATCATCTTTGTACTTTACCCTAACATTTAATGTCTAAGCGTAATATAGTCTACGTATATCTATATTAACATTTAAAGTCTAAGTTAATGAGTACGATGATAGAATGACATAATTGATATAATACCAATATTTTGAGAGTAATCAAACCAAAGGATAGGTAAGAGGCTTACTCCCACTTGGTTTTATGGATATTTTTTATTTGTAATCTATCTCAAATATTAACCATTCATTTAAGCCTTTAAACTTTTTGGTTAAATATTTTTTCTCGTTCTCCCTAAAATTTAATTATTTAATTTTATCAATTTAAAAATAAATTTATAGCTTTGGCATCTCAAAATGTTATTATTTTATCTGCCCCTACATAAAGCTTTTATTGCTTCGTTCTTGAATTTGAGGACTCAATTAGAATATTTTGAAGTTTAAGGACTAATTTAAAATATGGTATACTCTAGGATGCTCGGTGAAATCAATCCTTTTTTATTCGATTCATTCAATTGTTTCTGTTTAATTTGACAATTATCTTAGCTATGCAGATGCGCATGGCAAAGAATCACCTATGGGATACGCTTCCGGGGGTCAAACAGGACAGTTTTGCATTAGTCAGAAGTCGGGTTTTATAACCGGGTCGAAGACTTTTTTCACGTATGAAGAGTTGATGGAAATGACTGACGGGTTCGCCCGTGACAACGTCATTGGTGAAGGTGGGTTCGGGTACGTTTACAAGGGTCGGCTATCCAACGGTAGTCCCGTGGCCGTCAAGCAACTAAAAGTCGGCAGCGGACAAGGCGATCGAGAGTTCAGGGCCGAAGTCGAAATTATAAGCCGTATTCATCATAGGCATTTGGTGTCCTTGGTTGGGTACTGCATTTCAGATAATCAAAGGTTGCTCATATATGATTTTGTTGGGAATAAGACTCTTGAACATCATTTGCATGGTAAGATAAATGGTTTATTTTGCCCCTTAGAAATGGAAACCTTACGATTTGGTCCCGATTTCGGGAAATCGTTGTGCAACAGGTAAGGATATGCCAGTGCTTGAATGGCCTAAAAGAGTCAAGATTGCTATTGGAGCTGCCAAGGGTTTGGCATATTTACATGAAGATTGTATGCATCTCTTCAAGCCTTCCATTTTTAATATGTTAAATTATGACTTTAGACCCTCTACTATGCTTAAATTAGGCATTTAACCCTTATACTTGACATAATATTCTTCATTATGATCTACTCCAGGTCAACCAAGAATTATCCACAGGGACATTAAGTCGGCCAACATTCTATTAGATGATGATTTCGAAGCACAGGCAATGAATTCTCCCCCTTTGACATATATATATGGATTAAGATTCATTTATAAGTTTTATATATTTTTATCGTTAGATTATTTAAGTATAATAACTGAGGTTAAAATTTTTAAATTAAAAACAATTTTTTTTGTAAAAATCTTTTTATTTTCTATTGTTAATCTCATCCATCGACTTTTACTTATCCAACGATCTAAAAAATATATAAAACTTTTAAGTTTTACTATATATCAATGGATCCTACCTCTCTTTACATATAATTTCTGAAATGTGAATCATTTACACTGTGAAAAATCTTATTACAATAAGAACCATATTTATTATTGCAGGTGGCAGATTTCGGACTTGCTAGACTCAACGACACTAGTCAAACCCATGTTTCAACTCGAGTCATGGGGACATTCGGGTACGTTGGTTTCGATTAGTTCTACGTTATTTTACCAATCATAGTAATATTTATGGACGAAGTTATGTGTAACATGAAAGACTTTCAAAATAGAGTTTAGCTATTTTTTTTAATAAAGCATATGAATAACCATTAAATTATGTTGAAATGATCTCTTTAATTATTGAAGTCTTAAAAATTATAAATTAGGCATTAAAATTTTTAAATAATTATAAATTTGTCCTTAAACTTAGAAAAATTTATTACTATTTTATAATGTACAATGACTATTTTATAACAGTTCGATAAATTTAATACTATTTTATAACTTATGAAACTTCAATGATTAAAAGATCATTTTATTATAATTTAACAAGCATTTGTGTACTTTACCCATTATTTTTTAAATTCTTCTTAGTTTTGAAGTTAGACAAACCAAGTCTCGCCTTCTAATTTTGTGGATTCAATTATTTTTCAGGATCTCTTAGTTTTGAAACCAGGTGAATTAGATCCCACCTCCTATTTTTGGATATATTTACTTTTTAAGTCCTCTTAGTTTTGAAAGTAAGCAAATGAAACATTGACCTACAATTTTCTTGTTTAAATACTTTTTAGGTCCTTCGAATTTTAAAATTAAACAGATTAGATTATAACCCTCTTTTTTTTTTAATTTTAAATTGATGGCTTAACGAACAGATCATTTTATTCCTATTTATATTTATCCTCCTAAAGTTTCATGATTTTACTCCTGATCATATATAATTTTGTTTCTTAAATATAGTTAATTTTTTATCTGATATCTCTATTATATTTAAATTCAAGATTTAATATATATATATATATATATATATTAAGGAAAGTCCTTATATTATAGATTGAAGTAGCTTGGTCCCCCAATTTATTTCATTTGTCTTTCAGGTACTTGGCACCAGAGTATGCATCAAGTGGGAAATTGACGGATAGATCAGATGTTTACTCATTTGGAGTTGTACTTTTAGAACTTATAACAGGGCGAAAACCCGTTGATTCGACTCAGCCATTGGGGGAGGAAAGTTTGGTTGAATGGGTAAGAATGTTTTAATAAAATCATAATTATAAGCACAGATAAACTTAATCCTAAATTATAGTATAATAGAAGGACCAAAACCAAAATTTCAGCATAGTTTTGGTTTTCTTGGATTTTCAATTAAACAATGTTGTATCTTACTTTTGGCAGGCTCGGCCTCGACTTATTCAAGCCCTTGAAAGTGGCGATTATAGTGAGTTAGTCGATCCACGGCTCGAAAAGCGTTACGTAGAGAGTGAGCTATTAATGATGATCGAGGCTGCCGCCGTTTGTGTACGGCATTCCTCCGCAAAGAGGCCCCGGATGGCACTGGTAATGTTACCGAATCGGAAAATATTTTCATTTGATGATCATACTCGATGCATATCTGATTATATTTGTATCCGACACTCATGAACGTGTTTTATAGGTGGTAAGAGCACTGGACTTTGAGGGGTCGGACCTGTCCAACGGGGTAAAAGTAGGCCATAGCACCAGTTATGATTCCGAAAAGTATAGCGATGAAATTTCTCTCTTCAGGAAGATGGCACTCGGTAGTGACACCGGCTCCGAATGTGATGCTCTTACAGAAGATTATAGTTCCAGGGAATTATCACAAGGACATGGTTCATGGAAGTCTGAGTATAGTTCCAATGACTTCACCAACAATTAGCCCAAAACTCAACCAATTACAACAAGTAGCGTCGGGGAACTACGGCGGTGGTCGCTTCAAATGACCGTCTATTCTTACACTCGTCAGAAATTGTGTTGTTTCTGCATACCACTATTTGTTTTGTAAACGTAGAGATATGTTTTGTTCTTCTTTAGTTCCTTCGAAATCATATTTTTTAGTATTGGAAATATTAAAAAGGTTATTATTTTCTTGTAAAGATTTAATTTGAATAATTCAAATAGATAATTGTAGAGATTTATTATGAAAATAATCATTTAATCAAATATGTTCTATTGTTATATGTGACAACAAACTTTAGACACTATGTAAATGAGACGGGGTTAAAAAACCTTAGTGGTTATGTAGTACCCTAAACCCGATTGAGCCTAAAGTGTCACACTGGGCCACCAAGGCAACTTTGATTTTCAAAACGTGTTCATTTTCTTTTCAAACATATCGAATGGTATCATAATAAAACATAAATAATTGTTATAAAAACATTTTACAAAATCGGAGCTCTGTGACACATAATTTAAATCAAAACAATACATCATGAAGTTTACAACTCAAATACATAAGTAAGGCTCTATGAATACACATGCCCACTAAAGCTACAGTACAATACTCTGTCCTACCGCGACGGTGCTCCACGAACTGCCCAAGCTATTGACCTGCCAATGAAAAACGTTCGAAGGCTGAGCTTACAAAGCCCAACAGTATAATCGTGAATCTAAAAGAGCATAAGCATTTTATAAACAAAAGCATGCTGAAGACATAGCATTAAGCAATAGGTACATGCATGACCTAGATCAAATGCTACCTACTTAAGGCTTTAATGCTCTATCACTGAAGTAGGGGTCTCGTATTTCCCGTAATCCTCTGCTAAGGGCCTCGCCATAAGTACACCTCTAAAGGGTCTCTAACCCTAACGACTAAACATGCTACATATTATCTAAATACAACACTGATACTCCTATGCATTATCTTAATGCAAATCTGATTAGTATCTAGTCTCACATAGCTCTCAAACACTAGTTATTGAAGGAACCCCGGTTTCACATAACATCGATGTAATTCCTACAAACATACTGAATGATCTCCTGGTTCTCACATAGCCATCAGGTGGATCACTGAGGGGAACCCGGTGTCACATAGCATCGATACAATTTCTGCACAAACTAAAGTATTGGCATGGTCTCACATAGCCTTCAAGCCAAGCTTTAACATATATGATATACTGAACTGATAGGACTATACATGCATTACTGACATAGACGGACATGGGATTGGTCTGGTGGTGTGGTCGGAGGAATTTACGTGCATCTAGAAGCAATACCCAACCTACCTTGAATAAGGAAAAGTCTAGAGGTAAGAACCAGAATTTACGTGCATTAGAAGCTTACCCAACTGAACTGGCATAACTAATCATGCATATCTAAGGCTCATAGACCATATAATACTGACATTGCAACCCAGTCCTTGCGAGTGTTCGAGTCTCGCACCCTAGTTAGCCTCTGAAGTGTCTTGCTCTCTGGTAATGGCCCACTAGGGAAACTAAGGTAACCTGGGCATAACTTAAAATAGTTTGACTCACTAAAGTAAGGTTATCCTCTCATTAATTGTTATCTCGCTCGTTCTCTCATCTAGAACGTTATGTGGAGGCTTACTTATAACTGAGGAACTAGTTAGCCCGATATCTAGCTCGAGTTTTTTTAGTAGCGGTACTCTATTCAGTCTTATCTTAATTCCCTTAGGACTTCTTGAATTGAAAAGGATGGCTTACTTTTCATGGGTTCTGTAATATCCCAAACTTCGGGTTAGTGACTGAAATGTAAGGATTTAAAATTTGGTGGTTTATTTTCAATAAATTGAAAAGTTCAAGGATTGATTTTTTATGGAATTTGTGTTTAGGACATATTAGCAAAGATGAAAGAATAGAAGGACAAAGAGGTCTTTTAGCATGAATGAATTTAAAATTCATTTTTAAAGGCTATATAACATGTGATAAATAGGAAGAAATAAAGAAATGAAAAGTCTAGAAGTTTTGGTTTCCCTTCTTCTCTTCCACCGTATGTTCCATGGCTAAGGTGAGTTATGAAAGTTAGTTGTTTCTTGAAATTTTGAATTTGCTTTTGATTCTTTGGGTAATATAGAAGCTTAATAAAGCTTAATGATGAGTTGAAACTAAGAGATGGATGAATTAATGGTGAATTAATAAAATAGGGTTTTAAGGGAATTATTAGAAAATGATGAATATTTGGATTCTAAAGGGATATTTGACTTGTCAAGGGTTTAAATAAGATGTTAGAAGTGTTAGAAAGGATTGAGAAGATGTTTGAAGAATTAGTATGATTTTTAGTTTCAAGAGTTTTATGGAAGATTTTACATGTTAAAGGGGTTTTAATAGATATAAGTTAGTGGTAATAAGTGTAAATGAGTTTAAAGGTATGAATAGAGTTTAAGGTAGGAGATTTAAGTGAAGTTGGGTAAATTTTTGAAGTGACATAAATGAATTCTGGGTAAGGGTATCTGTACTAGAAGAACAATACCGATACTATAAGGTTAAAATTAAAAGAAAGAGTATGAATACGATAAACAATATCAATACTGATTGAAATAGTATCGATATTGATGTTCAGGTATCGATACCAAGAGGAATGTATCAATATTGTAAATGAAAAAAGAATTACAAAATGTCAAAATGGTATCGGTACTGAAGTGGGTATCAATACCATATGAGAGAAGTATCGGTACTGTGGATAGAGTAGCGATACTATTCAGTCGGAAATGTTAATTAAGTGTTTGATTTCGCTTAAATAAAAGTTAATGGGTTAGATGTTAATTGGGTTCTGGTATTCATATGGGTCATGCTATGTGTAGAATTGATTGAAAGCAAATACGGAGCAAAGGGACGTACCAAGATAAAGTGAAAGAGATAAGGAGTTGTTTAAGGCTTAAGTGATGCAAAGGTGAGTGTTATTTACTTAATTTATTTATGATTAGAGTATGGCTTGCAATAAACCAACCTCAAATTTTTTTGAACAAAATGAAATGCTATGAGTATATGTGAAGTTTTTCTATGTGAATATGTTCTATATAAGTAAATGGATAATTTGAATAACTATATATAACATGAAATGATTTTGTGAATCACTATGAAATCATTTTATATGTGATTAAATAAAAATATTGAATAATTTTATGTGAAATGAAATACTTTGAGTAATTGTTTGAATGTGAATAAATAATAAAATTCGATAATGTTATATGAAAATGTTCTACGTGAAATGTTATGTGAATATGTTCTATGGAACATAAATGATAAGTGAGAAATGTTAAAAGGAATGCTATAAGTAAATCCTTCTATGTGAATAAAAGATACTTGAATAATAAAGGTGAAAGTGTGCTATGTGGATAAAAGAAACTGGAATAAAGTATTGAAAATAATTATGTGGTTAAAGCCCAAGGTATATGTACGAGAATTAGAGGCATAGTTGGCATACAAAGAGTCAAGGGTTTTATGTGGTCATTCGGGACAAATCTATGTGGTCTTTCGGGACAAATCTATGTGGTCTTTCAGGATAAATCTATGTGGTTCTTCAGGAAAAATTCTATGTGGCACTTCAGTGCAAATTATGTGAGCAGTGGTGACTACATTAGTGCACAACCTCAATGTACTCGCATACCTTGAGTTCTCAATGATATAAGTTGGGCTAATAAAACAAACTTGATATAATTTGAACAATGAGTAACGATATAAAAATGTTAATAAATGTCTATTGGTTTTATAAGAAATGTTTCAAAGAATTGTATAAACAGGTATCAAAGGTATATAAATTAATCAATGAGTAATGGTGTATGTTATATGTTATGAACAATATGTTGTTATAGTAGTTCATGATTCTTTTATATACATTTACGTAATTGTCTTATTATGTTATTATACTCAGTATTACCTCCCAAATTCATAGACTTAGCGTGTGATTGTTTTCACACGTAGGTTCAAAGACATCAGTATAGTAAGTAAGGGCATGACAACATAGCTCTGAAGGATATCAGATCAGAGTAAACTAAATAGTATGTGATTTGATTATTGGCATGTACGAAAATGTGTAAGTCATAGTCGCTCTGATATGTTTGTGACTATGTTTTGCAAAGTTTTGTTTTCCTTATAAAGCTTTTATTGCTTTTTAAATGATTCAAAGTGTTTTAAAAGTCAATGTGACACCTCAGAGTCGTATCCGGGTAGGGTACGGGTCGGGGTATTATAGGTTCACTGACATTCTCGAAGCTCATACTTTTTGCGACCACTGAATCTGACATAATCACCGTATCACTTATCGAATATCTCTTGAAAGATCCTTGATCCTGATTATTCGTATTTGTCATTGTCCAAAGATACTTGGGCATATTACAATTAATATATGGTTACTCCTGATGTAACATGCTCTTACGAGTGTTTCTAGGTAAACTTGATCATTTACGTCCTTCACGGACTAAGTCTTACTATTATGAATCATACTTAGCTCTTACGGACCTTAAACAGGTCAAATATGCCTATCCAAAGTGAGTAGTATTAATACTCTCCTTGTAGTATCAATACCCTAAGGTTAAGAATCGATACCCCTATGAGTATCGGTACAAAAAATGCATTCTGCTATGAAATTGGGGCCTTAGTATCGATACTCTCACCCTAACTATAGATACTGCAGGGGTAATATCAATACTCCCTTTGGCAGTATTGATACTTCTAGTCAAAATCCCTAATTTTTGCCCCAATTTAACTAGTATCAATACTCAAACCCAGAAATGGTTATTTATACTCTGGAAACACTCAAAAATCACTTTAAATGCTATAGTTTGATTCTAAATCATGCACTGAAGCTTTTGGGAGTTAACTAGGGTCCCTAGGTGTCATAAAACACATTAATAACACTTAAAATGTATTTCAATCTTGAAATCAAATTTAAACCTTAATATGCTCAACTATACAAATCTTA